ATATTTCTTACTCTTTTTGGAACCTTCCTATTCATGATATTTTGAACTTTCTTAGGATCTATCATAAGGCCATAATTTGAAATAATATATTCTAAGAAGTCAATTTGAGTAGTGTGAAATATACACTTTGCCATCTTGGCATATAGTCTTATATTCCTAAGTTTTTATAATATACAATGAACATCACTAGCATCCAAATCCAGCCCAATGAAGATAAATGATGCTCAATTTTTTAGTCTATGTCTTCTCTTCTCTATATTATCCGAGTCACTTGACTGTGCCTACATCATCATGTCTAGGTGGTATCTTGATTCCGTAATATGTCATGAGGAACCAACATTGAGCTATACAAGTTGGAATAACATATGACTGACGTGGCATACATGTGGTCACCTAATCTGCTTATAAGAGTTCTAATAAATCTAATTCTACATTTGAAAGGGGCATGCACCACTTTTGGATGCCATTCATCTTTCTTTAGAATAAAGATAGAAATAAAAATATACTCTTTCAACTCTTGATATTTTTAACTAATTATATAATTATTTTTTGAAAAAATTATTTGACCACATGTATGGGTGGACCTTTTGAGCTTTTGAGAACATTTCCACCAATGTCTTTGAGACAAATATATGCAATCCACAAAAGATTTAATAAAGAATATGAACTTAAAATTCTTATATATTCATGTGTTTTACTAAAAATAGAAAATATAGAAAATATCTTTTGTGATTTGATTAATACTTTCTTATTATGTAAATTTGATTCTTTACAATTATCATCTTAACTAAAATGTTGATTTTTTCTTTTTTCTTTTTTCTTGGACTTTATAACACATTTGTTTTATGAGTATCTTTTCTTATATTTACATTGATGTATGTATATATATATATATATTATTTTTGAAATTAATTAGATATATGCATCCTTAATTGCTACTTTGTGAAACAGCTAATTTGAACTTTTGAGCAATTGTATAACATCATTTCAAACATTAATAATGTAGAGTGATGTGATCTTTTACTTAGGTGGTACACTGAATATCTAATTGTGGTGAGTTAATTTATAATTATATAGCCTCTATACTAATGAGGTTATCTACCTTGAATCATATGGACATGATAAATAATATGAGAGAAACTTAAAATTAAGGTGATGTATATATTTTTCTAAAAACTACATGCAGAATCATTTTGATGACATACAAAGTTGATGTGTAAATTTTTAAATAAAGTGGATCAAGGTTCACATTTTGCTTTCAATTTTCTTAAAGGACTTAGTCATATGTGCCACTTCAATCCAAGTTTAAGGACACCACATGAATTCAAATTTCAATAAAAATAAAATATGTCATTACGACCTTTTTCTTAAATGTTTCTTTTTAATTAAGTAAAGTGCATGAAATTAGAAGAAATATTATATTTATCGTCTAAATTTTTTATTAATAATAAAAGAAAAGAAAAATAAAAACTGCCACTATACTGCTAATCTGGAAGTTCCATTTGCAATATTCTTGCATTGTTACTATTTTAGCACCACATTTTACCACAAAAGTACTAATCAAACTTTTAATATCTTCACAGAATTCGCACTTCTTTTATTTGTTCTTCTGTTTTTAATATTGAATATCAGCCTATAGTTTCTCAAGTCAAACATGTTCTTTTTTTGACTATCATGTCTTTAGTACCGTTTATTGAAATCCTGCCACTTCACAAACAAATGCTTCAATTTCAAGCAAATGATTTTGAGCTTCAATTCTTGCTTATTTCAAAGGCTTTATAACGTTTCTTTCCACTTTCACAACATTTTTCTTGTAAACTTTTGAATATATCTAAAAATGGTTGGACCATTTTTTTTTTAAATGATTGTTCCAAAATCCTTAAAAAATCTCTTAATTTTAAAAAACAGCAGTACAGAAGTGATACTCTTTTAGATATTTAGACTTCTGAAAATAAATTTTCAGAACAAAATTTAAATATTTACCTTATTCAAGACTGCAAAGATGATATAACATTGTAGTAGATAAACATTTAGATGCACTATTTTGATAAAAAAAATTTGTAATAAATCAATCCATATTTTTGCAAAAATTTGTGACAAATCAATCCATTTTTTATTTTTTTTTTGCAATTGTTTTAAGAAGTCAAATAAAATTTGATTGAAAAATATAATAAAAATTTAACCTACTTCATATATCTTCACATGTGACAATATAAAGGTAACCAAAATGTATCAATGTGGATTGTGTAGCATCAAATTTTCTACAAAAATTTATATATATGAAAATGTAAGATCACAATCTGCTTTGTTTTTATATACATAATATTTTATTCCACAGTCACTTACAAATTCCATAATAGAAAATACAAATAATCTACAATTCAATTTATTTTCTTTTATATTTTAATTTCTTTTTATGTATATATATATATATATATATATAAGAACAAAATAGTTATATATATATATATATATATATATATATAGAGAGAGAGAGAGAGAGAGAGAGTTGTTAAAGCCACACCTCCCTTGGCATATCATGATTGATTTTGTCCATTCTTATTCCTAATTCTCCATTTCCATTCCAAGTCTTCTATTTAGAATTACTTACTCCCTTCCAATCTCTATTTGTAGTCTCATGTGTCCATTCCAAATCTATACATCTTCATTTTCCTCCTTCATTCCTTCTATTGACTACTAATTGCCTTCTTTAAGCCAATATTGATATTTGTATGGGAATACTTGGACATTACTCAAGTAATCTATATAATTTTGGTATATGTTACTTGGATCAATAAGAAGTGGAAGTTAGTTCTGTAGCAACTTGATCTTCTAAGGAGGTCTAACAGGAAATTATTGAATATTATATAGTAAATTGGCTATTAAGGATAGTGAATTTTGCTACTAATTTTTTGGTGACAAGCAACTAGAAAAGAGGGTTGGTTTTTACTAATATGCATAATTTTGTAGCAAGTCCAAAGAATTGGTAACTACTTTTGGCAAGAAATAATGATCTTGGTATTATTAAGTCATTCTTTCATCTTTTTGGAATATGGGGTAAAAAAAAGTATTTGTTGAAGCTATTCAAGCTCCACTTGATTGACCACCACTATGGTCGCGATTACACTTATTTTCTATTGCAAGCTCAAGTGAAATTCTTGATAAACTTAGAAGAGGTGTGGGATGCATTTATAATGTGGACTGAGTAGTCATAACATCTATACTAGGAATGTGAAAATGAAACTAGTCAATACATTATGATGCATGGAACTTAGAAGAATTAAAGTCAAAGTTTACTAGTTTATGTTGATTGCTTGGTAGGAACACTAGAAACAAAGAATCAAAGACAAGAACAAGAATAGAAATAAGAAGGAGAAGAAGAAGGGGTGTGTATTTGAGATGAAGAGCATAGAATGAAGAAGGAAAAAAATAATAATAGATGATTAGAAATCGGTGATAGAGATTAAAAATGGATGAAATTAATCATGATATGACAAGAGGAGGTGTGGCTTTAACAATTATATATATTAAAAAATTTAAACTTATATTTTTAAGCATAAGTTTATGGCATAAGTCAAGGAATTTTTTTTACAAATGTTTTACCAATCAACCTATCTAAAAGACCTATGTATAGTGAAAATTCTAATCTTAATAAATAACTATACTTCTTCAAAAATATTGTTAATTTTTGATAGTTTCAAGGAGTCAACTCTGATAAATTATCCATTATCTATACATTGTTTAAAAACACAATGTCTAATAGAAATTACTAATGAATACAAGTATTTTAATATCGATTTGAAATTAAATAGTATTTATATCAAAATAATAAATTTTGGTCTTAATATTGTAGTTTTTTGTGGCCATTTTATAAATTCTTATAATCATAGATTTATATATAAATTCTTATAATCATAGATTTATATATAAATTCTTATAATCATAGATTTATATATAAATACTATTAAATTAGAATAGGTACTATATTTAATCATTATATTCCAAAAAAAAACATGCTAAAAATTCTATCATAAGTCAAGAAGATAATCCAATAATTGAATCAAGATACAAAAAAGTTTCAAGCTTAGAAATAAACAAGAACCACATAAAGAAAAATTATAAATTAACTGGAAAAATAGCAAACTGATGAGAGAAATCTTGGCTATAATCTTGCCCTTCTAGCAATGTTCAACAGAGGAATAGAAGCCCTTATTATTATTATTATTATTAATTTAATATTCTTAGAAGGGTAGGAAAGAGTGCACAAAGCTGCAAAACTATTCCAATGCACAATTAACGACCCGTTTGAGATTTTTGCTGCAGTGACAACGAAATTAGGAGCAACAAAATTAGGGCACCCACGGCCATGAGAGCCCCTCCTATCTATCTGTCTCTCTCTACAGCTACCCATCACCGTGTCGTCGCGGCGTGGTGTGGTGGAGTAGTTTGTTTGCGAGGGCCCATGGAAGCGGATCATTCTATTCCCGGAATTGGAAAGACAAGATCCTGGTTGCGACGATTGTATAGAGGGGACCGTGACGCGCCAGGCGTCGCTAGGTCTGAACTCCGAAACTGCCACTTCGAGGCCCCAAGAGTGCCTCCACAACAGTTTCCTTGCCCAAGGTTTCCATGCTTCGACCATCGAGCAAACGCATGCAGCAGACGTGGAGCAACCGTCTAAGGTCAGTGCCCCCCCCCCCCCCCCTTTCGTTTTTCTTGGTTGCAGACTGGGGGCATCAGTCCAGTCTTGTGATGGGTCTATACACACATGAATTGATGCAGAATTAGAGCGTCCAAGGAGGTGCAGCTTAGTTAGGAGTCTCCTTGTGTATCCATCGCATCGTGCAATGTAAGCCCCCGGGCTTGGCCATGTTTAATTCTGAATTGCTTTACCGATTGTGAAGTTTTTGTGCCTTAGTGTAGTGTAGTGCAGTGCTGTGCGGTGCGGTGCGGTGCTGTGGTAGATTCTCATGGACATAACGGTGCGCTTGTCACTGCGTTGCACCTTCACTGTTGGCTTTTGCAGGATTTTGTAACTAGATGGAGTCGCGGTTTTGTGTATGTGTCGAGATTCTCATGTGAGATTTGAAGTTTGGGTAGTAGGAGGGAGGTGATTGATTTTCTTAGATCGTTCGCTGAAGGTTAAATTGGCTTCTGGAAGGTTGCAGTGGAGGCGATGTGGAGTGGGTTACTGATGGTGTGTCTCAGGGTTACTAACTTACGTTCCTCAGTGATATAATTACCTGGTTGTTACCGAAGCTTTTTTAACTTTCTAGCAATTGCGTATGTTTACATTTTGGCGACTGCGTTGCGTAGGAGTACTCATCTTAGCTCGGAATTCAAGGGGAGAGACTTAGGCAAGAGGACCATGGATTAATTCTGTCGAGAAGATTCTCGTTCGATGCTTGCTGTTAAGAATCGAATTTCAAATTGAAGCTCAGAGTTGGCCTTTCTTTGAAATTATGGCATTTTCGGAACATTGTCGTCATCCCGAGCGGAACCCACCCGCAGTGTCAGCTGTTTCGCAGCATAGTTTCATTAGGATTCTTAGCCCGATGGGCACAGACGGGGTTGCACAGAGGTTCAGTGGAGTTTGGGAGCGTTGGCTATTGTCTTCACGATCTTCGAATACTGCTTTGTGGTACTCAAAGCAGCAGAAAACGTAATGCGTTCTGTTCAACGGATTTGGTCTTGGAAGTCCCGTGACACCGTGATTGCTGATCTTGAACCAATTTGAGACCGACAATGGTAGCCTTGGAACTAGAAGCATCGTCCAGTGGTTCTGGTTGCGTTCCGTTGTGGGGAGATGGACTTTTGTTCCCTTCCGCTTGTTGTGAGTCCGTTGTTTTCTTCAAAGTTTTCGTTAAAGCAGCAGGGCGCATCTCCTCCATGAGTGATTAGTATTCGCGAAACTTGACCTCGTGTCAGTTGGGAATGCTCAGAAGTTGTCTTTTCTGATACAATCCCATAACTTTGTTACAAGGTGATTGATCAGCAGTCTCACAGCTGGATTTGTATTGATGGGCGTGCAGTAAAGGGAAGGTGACGCTTGATTAATTGAGGCAGAAAAGTTCGAGATATTTGAAAGGGGTCTGCAGTCCAGCATGTCCAAAAGGAAAGAGATGCGGTGAAAAGATGGAGTTTCAAGAAACTGATTTCTTACCTTTCCAGAGACCCAAATTAGTGAGGTAATTGTGCTCTACAAATTATCTGCGTCGATTCATTTGATATCTCGCGACGATTTTTTTTCGAATATTGGTGACAGGATTCTCAGACACCTGGAAAAAGGTTCCTTAAGTACCCTAGACGAAGCCTCCAAATTACATCTCCAGTTTTCATAGCTGTTTGCAACGGTGCTCAAGGTTGAAGAAATGCTGAACTATTCACCCGGAATTGGACATATTTCAGGCAGGAAATCTAACGCGATAAAAAAAAATGCTTTATTTTATCTTACTTCTTCTTTCCTTTCTTCCCGGCTAAAATATTTGTTTGTCTTACTTTTCCATAGCTCAGAGGCATAATGTAGTATTGAATAGAACTACTGTGCCATATATTGATAAGAAAATAAGAGAGTGATCGAGGAGCGAAAGTGCACGTCTTATACGTGGACTGACTCCTGATTCTGCCGTCACAGCAAGGTGAATAGTAACTGGTTCCAGGAGAAACTAGTTCGAGGTAAAAGCTAACTCTGTTAACAGCTACTCCTGCAGCTCCTGGCGTTGGTCTCCAGCGCTACCACTCTGCGCCTGGTGCTTTCCTACAAGCAGCAGCAGATGACGCATTCTCCCAGATTCCCCTTCCCTTGGAAAACTCCGATGTGGATTCCGCGTTCGGCGACTGTGGGCTGCCGCCCATCACAGAGCAGACAGACATGGAACAGATGGACAGCGGCAACAGCATGGTGGAGTTCGAACAGTTTCTGCCGCTCGACAGCGATTTCAGCGAGAGAGCTGCCATGTCTGCCCTTGGTGTTGCCAAATCTGAGAATGTTGGTACAAATTCGATTCCTGACTTAGTGAAATTGTTTCGTCGAGGACTTCGTAATCTCAATTTACAAGTTTTCACATGACGTTGATGAGCTGGGGTGGGGTTGTTGACAGACACATTTGCGAGTTTCTTCCCACCTGCGAAGGAGACTCGGTCAGTGCGTGAGAAGAGAGTGTCAATTGCAGAAAAGATTATACCAAATCAAGAAATAATTACGATTTCAGAGGATCACCATTCAGAAGACAGCATCTCAGGGACTTCGGAAGTTAATAGCCTTAGGAATGGATTCAATGTAGCGATGTACTCACAAGATGATTTTTTCAGAACCGATACCATGACTTCTATGCCAACAAGTCAAGGTGCCGAGCTAATCTCAGCTTCGTGACACTCACAACTTTCTGACATTTTTTCCTTTCTGCTTCAGACTGGTTAGCACAAGTTGGCGTGTGATAGAAGTTTGATTTACTGACAGTCTATTTTATATGGCTATTCATCTTGCATTCCAGGAGGTAAGCGGCAGCGGGGGTTCGCTGGAGAGTACACTACATCAAATGACTCAGAGTTGAACTTCAAGTCATTCCGGTTAGGCATCAATCAGTCCACCGGCTTCATCCGCCATGCAAGCTTCCCGACAAGTGGAGAGGGCGTAAACATGGACTCAAACCCTGACGACCGTTACGTCCAGATGCGACTTCGAGCCAAGCGTGGATGCGCCACCCATCCGAGGAGCATCGCGGAGCGTGTGAGGCGGACTGGAATCAGTGAGCGCATGAAGAAGCTGCAGGACTTGGTCCCCGGCATGGAGAAGACGACCAACACGGCTACCATGCTGGACGAAACCATGGATTATGTGATGTCGTTGCAAAACAAGGTTACCGAGCTTCAGGAGTCGATTGTGCAGCTAAAACCTGGGGCCACACTGATCAACAGCTCCTAAATGGACAGCTGAATAGTTCAGTTATTGCTCCGTTCCGTTGTAATATAGTTTCAATTTTATATCTCTTCATTGAAGCATTCGGACTCAGAAGTTCTTGGAATTTGTACAGTTGATGGTATTAATTGAAATTCTTTTTTGGTACATCTCCATGCTCTCGTTCATAAATGAATAGATTTTTGGGTGAACACGAATCAATTTGTTTCACGTTTTGTTTGTTTGCTTGCTTCTTCTTTTTTTCTTCTCTTTTTTTTTTTTTCTCTATATAGAATCCATGGATTAATTAAATTTATGGAACAATTTTTATCTAATTGTCCAATTGAGCTAAATTCACAACATAAATTGAATACATCTATAGTCATAACTTTACAATAATTCATCCATAGATTTACTACAAAATTCACACAATTTACCAAAATATAACCACTTTTTTATCAAACTTGAAACAAAGTCACCCAAAAACATCCAAATTTTACAAAGCTCTCACAAAGTCAGTATGAATTCAAATCCTTTAAAACTAATTCTTGTAGAAACCTTATCAATTTTGCTTTCAAATCCCTTACTCCAATGAACAAAAAAGAACCATGTCTGCCATGGACATGTGGTTTTGTGCCTTAGGGTCAAGTTTTGACCTTATTTTATAACTTGTTCTCTATAGGTATCAATTTAAGATTTATGTAAGTAATTTCTGCTGATTGCTACTTTTAACTTAAAGATGATTTGCTACTAAATTTTAATGTAAGCTCTTCTATAAAATTATAATATTCTATTTCTTTCACTCAATAGCCATCTTACAATGCAACAACATTTGAAATTATTTTATTTTAAAAGATCTCTAAACTTAAATCAATAAACAACATGATTGTTAAATAATAAATTGTATATATTCAAAAAAGTGGTAGGATTTTAAATTAATAGCTAGAAATAATAGTTTATTATTATTAAATAGTTGTTTGAACTTATTGGAGTAAAATAGAGAAAATTAACTTTTCAACAATATAAAGCCGTTGATCTCTATGTAATTAGAAATAAAATAAAAAATTAAGATTGTTCATATATTTGTTGTCCAATTATGATGCATTACAAAATAAATTGCTTTAACAATAGTATAAGTATAAAAAGTAGTTACATCCAAATTTTATTCATAGTGTAACTTGTTGTTGTGGCTAAAATAGGAATTTGGTCAGAAATAATAATGTGGATACAATGTTTTGTAGTCTTAGAGCAAATACCAATATTTTGATGTTATGGTTGCATTTGTAGAAGTGAGTGATTTAATATATATATATATATATATATATATATATAAAAATATGTGTCTACTTCTCAAGTTATGTAAGCTATTCAATTAGAATTTTGAATCTAAATAAAAACTGCTTGAATAATATTGGTACAATTTGCTACATCATAAAATATAGTGCAAAAAGAAAATATAGAATCTTGGTAGGAAAATAACTAAATGTAAGTACATTGTTGATTTGTTTAGATCAATAGATAAATATAGAATATTGCTAAAAGTTGCATTATAAAAGATTAAAACATAATAGTCGGCAAACTTCTTTATTTCAAATCTATCTAGCTTTTAAATATATGTATATATATGGAACTAAACTAATATGTATCAAGAACTAAATTATCAACCAGGTTCATTTTTTTATTTAATTTTTTTTAAAGAAATTCAATTTGATAATTTATAGATTAAAAATAACAACATTTTATGATTTTTATTTTATTTTTTTGGATAGGATTTAGATCAAAGATGTGCAAGTAAATGTCTTGACAAAAGGTATGCAAGGAGTAAAAAATATCAATCCAATTTTTTAGAATGCCTTTTTTGAGTGAGCCACGTTTAACTTCTCAAAAAATGTTATTATATAAAGTATTAAAATTTATAAAAATTGATATGGATCTTGAAGTTAGTTTCACGTGAGAAACTAAAAATTGAGAATAGGTTCTGATGCCATGCTGATATATATATATATATATATATATATATATATATATGTATTCACTTGCAAATATATAATGCTTCGAAGTAATATTTAATCTTAGTAAATATTTTTGACTCCTAGCGCCAAATAAGAACAAGAAGTTATATAAAAACAAGAAAAAAAAAAAAAAAAAAAAAAAAAAATACACATTCATCTTATGTTCATTTTATAATATATATACTTGTCTAATGCGTCTCTCCCCATTTTCAATTATAACACTAATTTTAAACAGACCGGTTTAGGTCTATTTGACTGGCATCAAAGCATGAAATCCTCAAACATTACAAAGGTTCGGACAAACAACGGCCACCACCACACATCCAAGAACAGCAAATAAAAAATTCGAGGTTTCGCCTCTATTCCTCAACCTGCACAACAACACCCACAAACCCAAATAAATTCTTAATTAATCAGTAAACATCACTCATACCACTTCTAAGTCAGCGTCGCCAAGAGTTGAACGAATCTGGACCAGGTTGTCAACGGTGTATGATTCCATCCCAAAGCGGGTATCGGCTGAGCAAAGTAACTCCAACGCGCGAGATACCCTGCGTGGGCTTCGGTTTATACTCTGGTGATAACCAGGAGGCCCAGCACTGCCCACCTCAGACTGCATTGCACGCCTAGACTCGTAAATGTGAAAATAAATTTGAGTATCGTATTGCTGAGGTTGGGGGACTTAGGGCTGGAGCTTCAATCCTCCAAACTCTGTGTCCTGAGTTATATATTTCAACCATTGTTGTTTAACTCTCAGCAGGTATTGGGGTTCCTTGCTTCACTGCGGTCGCGGAGAGCTAGATTTCATCGCTTATCTTGGTCTGGATGTTGTTTGGGGATTCCTTCGTTTCTATTTTATTTTTAGTTTTTGCTGGCCTGAGTGTTCTAATTGGGGATTCTTGCACGTTAATTGGTTTTGCTCATGGAGCTTTTAGGGTTTCGAAATTGGTTGTAGTTTCTGGGATGGTTTGTGGTTGTATGGTGACTCTGTACTCCCCTGGTGGTGGAGTGGTTTATGATGGATGTGTCTGTAAATGTCTTGCTCCCAGGGTGTATTGAAGTGAGAGTTTGAAGTGAATTCAAGATTGACTTTCGAGCCTGCATTTCTATTAACCTCTCAGGTTTAAAGCAAAATCGCTTGGGAGGTGTATCAGATATCGATCATCAGATCAAAATGATGCTATTGACAAGTAGATTATCCTTCAAGATTAACAATTGTTTTTCGGCTAGAGAATTGTGGATTTCTATGTTTAGCTGATTACTTGTAGAATGTCCTAGTGACGAAACTGTGTGCGCAAATTTCACAGAGAAGCCTGTTAGGAGCGTTATTGAGTTGGCCCTTTTACACCATTTTCGAGTCTCAATTGGATGCTTAGCTGAACGCTAAGAGTATCCCTTCAGGAAAGGAGCATAATTCTCCTCTGTGTGGAAAGTTTATGATTGCCGCAATGCCGGACTATCAGGCAGCAGTTGATGATTTCGTCACGAGATTGAGACGCAGGTTTTAATCTCTCATCTTTAGTTCAGTGTATCCACATGAATCTATAGCGTATACAGGTTTTTTAAGGGAATCAGACTTCTGTAGATTTTGAAAGTTTCTAGTACCTGACTTGGCGTCGCCACTTGTCTTGATAATATACAAGCTGCATAGAGATCCTTCGTAGACCATTAAGTTTGGGTTCTGTCCTTGCATACAGTGACATGGATGAAGGATTTTGTTCAGGCAGGTGGAGGGCTCTCTCATTACTGCGAAGCTGACCGCTGAGCTTCTTCGCCAAGTCGTCTCACACCAACGTTTACCAAATGTCGGTCAAGCAGCTGTGCTCATAGATGTTGTGAAATCTGTGGGTCTTCGCATGATTGCAGCAAATCCAATTGGTCAGTCAAAAATCCTGGCCTAGTGTTACACATGCTTCTGCTTTTCTTAGTGAGAACATGTGGAGTTCGTTCAGAGACACGCAGATTCACTATTTCACTTGCGGGTTTTCAATGTGTGCCATACAAACTATTCAAACTGTACTGGAGCAACTATTTTGCTCTTATTGAATTCCTTAATGGTTTCAGAATTGGCAGTCGGAAATATGGTGAGAAGAGTTCTTCACATCATCAGGGAAGAAGATGTGTCGTTGACATCTTCCGCAATTCCAGGAGTCAGTGTTGAGAGCGATGACGACGAAAGTGACTCTAAATCTAGTTATTCTGCTGCAGCCATTGCTGCTGCTAACCGAAGTGCTTTGCGAGCACCCTCATTGCACAATCTGCTAGAATCGATACCTGATCCAGTTAAAACTCCTGAAGCTCCGGCAGCGTCCGTTGGGGACTCAGATTCAAAAAGCCGATGTAAGTTTGGTTGCTTCTCCTTGTGAACATCCTCCCATTTACCATCACAACGTTGTTTGGTTTATTGCAATCTTCGACTGTTATGTATGGCTCATAAATTGTGCATTGGAAGTACAAAGTCGGCTAATTAGTAGCTTAATGGTTTCGAGTGACTTGCTGATTGAATCTGTTGACGTGATTACTAAGGTTGGAATAGCACACGAACGTTATTACGGACATCTTTTTTTATATTGTACATAGTATATCCGTCATGGACTTATGATTTTTTTATGGTGGGTTGCATAGCTGGAGACAGGAATTCTGTAAGCTGGAAGCTGAAGCACAATGTGATTGAAGGCATTACCGAGTTACTTCAAGACTTAGATGATTATCATACGCATGTTGCTGAGCAGGCACTTGAACACATTCATCAAAAGTATGTGAGAACTATTAGATATAATTGTCCTTGGCACTTGCTATATATGCTGCTCATCATGAACCATTACCTTATATCTCTACAGGTTATTCAGTGTTGTATAGTTTTCCCACTTGTGTTGACTGGCGTTTTTCCAACTCTTGTAAGTCTGGTGGTACTTTTTGTTAGGAATATTATCTGATGCCTTGGTTGTTGTTGAAAGTGAGGTGATCTTGACGCTTGGGCGGTCACGATCTCTGCTTAAATTCCTTTTGGAGGCGAAGAAGAAGAGATCGTTCCAAGTGGTAGTAGCAGAGGGTGCTCCTAGGTACGATGTTGAATTGAAACATCGCGTAACTGTGTTTCCTAAGAAAGCAGAAATGTGTTGCAAGTACCTGTAGCTGAGTGGTCAATTTCATTTGCAGAGGTTTATATCTGAAATTTTATAGTCTTTATAATAAAGTGCCTTCTCTCATGTCATACCTTTTCTTTAGGTACCAGGGACATACACTTGCGAAAGAGCTTGCAGAGAAAGGGCTACAAACTACTGTAATCACAGATTCAGCCGTCTTCGCGATGATATCACGTGTGAACATGGTACGCTTTGCACTTCTGGACGCACTATGTTATACTGAAGGTAGATTGTGATCACAGCAGCAAAATTTTATGAGGATGATAGTAGTTTTGTGTGCACACGAAAGTATATCATTTAATTATTGTGGTCAGTATTTCACTCGTGAAATGTAGTGACCAAGGACATGATATTCTTATACGACCTGCCATATGGATAAATATAGCAGGAGGTTGAAGGATCATCAAGCTGTCTGTGATTTTTTATTTGCTTGGATGTTTTGACTTCTGATATTTTTGGTCGTTTTTTGCTCCAAAACTAACTTAGGTCATAATTGGAGCACACGCTGTGATGGCAAATGGAGGAGTGCTGGCTCCAGTTGGCATGCACATGGTTGCTCTTGCAGCTCGCAGGCATGCAGTTCCTTTCGTTGTTCTTGCTGGTGTTCACAAGGTATGCTAATTGTAAAGGACTCCTATATATATATCTATATACATTGTCGTTTTGATGCCTCGTTAATATCTAAGGTAATCCGTTTAGTCAAGCGGTGGAGATTTTCATGTCCAAGACTTAACGGAGGTTGTTTTTGTGCTGCAGTTATGCCCACAATATCCACACAAGCCATACACACTACTTAACGACATGAAATCTCCAGCTGAGGTTGTAGAATTTGGGGAGTTATCTGAATGCTTTGCTGCCGGGACTGGTGATCATACCACCTATGTCGTGAATCCAACTTTTGACTACATTCCTCCGGATCTTGTTAGCATTTTCATTACGGATACGTAAGTTTCCTTAAGAAAGTTTCCTTGAGATTTGCTCTTTTAATTTCGGTGATACCGAATGAAAATGGTATCTAGCAGCAATGTTCTTTGTATTTCAATCTTTTTACTTTTATCATTTAGTATAGTCCAGTACACCTGTTTGTTCCTTGTCCTCTCAGTTGACGAGCTCTTTCGGTTATGTTTTGCAGAGGTGGTCATAATCCATCGTATGTCTACAGGCTCATTGCCGAATACTACAGTCCGGAGGATTATTTTTTGCAATGAAAAAAGAGTCATGTAACTTATTCTATCTTGTGCAATTTTGCTGCAGTATTTTCCTCTGTCAGATCTAGGATTCTAATGTTAAAAATTGAGGTTAATTGGTGTCGGCGAAAATAAGAAAAAGAAAAAGAAAAAAATGCACATCGTATTTAGGATGCTTGAGGGCCTTGAAGATTAGCTGCACCTATGGTGGCCTTTGAAGAAGGAATTTTAGCTTCTATTGATTTTTACACTCGTAGTGAAGAAATGTTCATACCGATTTGTGAAATTGTTAATGTTTTCCTAATACATTTTCCTGCATTAAATCAGGCTCTTTTTATCTTCAATGAGAACACTTAATTGAGTGCAACTTGATTTCAGAAGCTGCTTGGCTTTGTGTCTGCATGTAGGCGCTGACTTGATAGCACATTTGACAGCGACGTTGAAGTATTCTGCAAATGGACTGTGTTACTCGCAATTTCGTAGAAGGTCGTATACTTTGGGAGAGAAATTATAATCATCTCCATAAAGACAACTGTAACGAAGATGATGTGAATGCTTGATATTGTGCTTGTTCTTCCGATTTCACAATTGACGATCAAAAGTCATGTATATTCACAAGATAAACACGTTTTGATATCTTTTTGGTTGTTTGATATTATTATAAGATCACATCTTGGACAGAACTTCTCGTCTAATCTGCAAGCTCTTAGAAGGCTAAAAGATTCTACTGTGTACATACATAGTTACAACCCACGTGTTGCGTGGCCTTGGAATTGTTGACCGCCTGTAGTCTCTCCAACTGTTGATGCTTGGATTCGCCTCGTTTGCTTAATTAGACCCATTACAAGTCGGCGAATGCAGGGTAGTTGATAGAGTCAACAACAATGAATCGGAAACCCACAGCGACGGTTCCAACAGTCAAGGCTGCCGAGATGATCACCATACCCCAGTGCCAAATCAGTCGCTGCTAACCGAACTTGTTACCCTTCACCTGCAAAAATTGGTTCAATTCAGTCGCAGCGAAATGAGCGAAGTGTGGCTGCGCATGCGAGATGCCTTGAGTGATCAGTGTGTGTACCTTTGTATACATGTGGTGAACCAATCCAGACTCTGGAGGAAACACAGCCACTGCTCCGGTGAGAACAATGAAGTCTCCGAAGAAGAGAAGCAACGCTCCCAGGAAAGTGCTGAGAGAGATATACGTCGTGCGCTTGATCAACCGCACGGTTATGCTATAGAAAGACCATTCATGGCGTCCTTTCTTACTGAAGGAGGTATCCATGAACTCGTAAATGTGCGAGCAATAAATCTGTAATACGAATTCAATTGGTTCAGAATAACAGTCCTAACATGAGCAACATGTGCAATTCGCTCAATTACAAGATCACTGGTCACTTACATGGAGAGAAACGACCGTTTGCAAGAAGGCAGCGGCGTTAGCGACTGTAACTGCAGATTTGGGCCCAGAGACAGAATTCAACATGTATGGGACGACGTCGTTGCCGTATGCCCAGTATCCAACAAAGGTGAGCATCAGGATTGGGAGTGTCCCCACTGTGAATTGAAGGTCAAGTGCCTTCTTCATGTTCCTAACTGATGGCTCTTTCACTGTTGCCTGCATTTCTGGAAGAATGCCCGTGTTGAATGCAAATGCTATTGTTGCCATGGCTCCTAATGCATTGAACGCCTTTTCAGTGTTACTACCTTTCAGAGAGTAGTCTCGAGAAAACTTCGCCTTCACACCTGGAACACAAACCATACAACTTACATTCCCAATTTGCAGACAGAAGAAGGCGCAACGATGTTGCTAGATCCTTGGAGAAAAATTACAAGCACCCGGATGGAGGGAGGTATTGGAGCATGAAATTATACCGTCAGTGAGAGCGATGCCGACGCTGGTGAATATGTAGACACAGCTGAGGAGCAAAGAGCAAGTGGAGAAGAACCGGAATGCGTGAAGGGTGGGAACCAAAAATGCGAAGACGCATATCACTGCTCCGGCGACGCCCACCCATCCAGGCAACGTCACATGTCTTCCAACTGTGAAGGCTGCAGCTATAGCCTTTAGAGACTCCCCCCCCCCAAAAAAAAAACGATGGTTCCAATATTTCCTATGAAGAGATACAAGTACTGCACAAACTAGGTTGCGCGGTACATATGCGGGCCTGCACATGCGCAAGGGGAAAGTTGGACTTTCCTATCGATTTGTCTGAGCTGCAAGGGACTGAATGCAATTGAAACTTCAAAATCATCCGGATTGTGATACAAGCGATGAGAGTACCGTAGATGTGGCCTGCAAGGTCCCGGTAGCGAACTTGGCGCTTGCCGCCGGTCTCATGCAGCTCTCCGAGAAGACAATTTTTGTAAAAAGAGATGATACCCCCTCCGAGCAGGCAGAGGACACCGGCAGTCCAGCCCAGGTACGCCATGATCAGAGCGGGGTACCCAAGAATAAAACCCGAATTTAAAGCTGTCACGATGTGGAATGCCACTGTGTACCACGCATATGCCATGATGAATTCATCGCAACTGAGCCACGTTAATGATCTTGAGCTCTTCGGGTGTGCAACCTAGTCACCCTAGCTCTGAAATCGAATTTGAATGAATTCTGAGGATCCCTGCATGTGTTCCTCAATGAACACAAGACGGTTGCGATTGATTCGTATGAATACCACAATGGAGAGCAGCGTTATTACCTTCTCCGACCCGGTGAGCTGTTTCTTTGGACACTGCATCGGCTGCTTTGAATGAATTACCTCCTTCAGGATCGCTTAGTTTTTCTGCAGCAGTTTCCACCGGAGTTGTGGTATAATGTCCCTCTTTCTGTGCGAGCCCTGCCTCGCCGTTCCCCCCATTCAGCGCCATATTATTTCTTTCAAAAGACTCGTCGGTTTGTGGGAGTCGTTTATCCCCTCTCAGAATACCGTATACTACGTAGAATCGATGCAGGCTGCAACTAATCAGTCTCTGGTGTATGTTTCAGTGCCGTCTTAGCCTTGTCAAGCTCACCCTTGTATCTTTCAGAAGATAAATTCCACTTTATCGCTGTCGGTTTTGATTATTAATTTTTCAAACTAAGTGTTTTCTCATGCCCTCAACCGGCAAAAAAAACCAATCACTGGACAGCTTCCAACGAAGAGCATTCCCCGCATGGCGCTTCGATTTTACATACGATTCCTCTTCACAACATTTGCTGAAACTCTGCCACATCGTTCAGCTTCAGATAAAAACATTTGATACTATTTCACGTGGACTCAGAGGGTGTGGCCTTTCTGTGATCCGAAGAAAACCAAGCCACATACAAGCTTTTGCTTCAACAGCTTGTCCAAACGCGGAGATCCATTCTGTAACCTGTCCATTGAGGCATGGCGACGCGTCAACCTGCATGCATGCTAGCCTTATCTGAGGTAATCATCACTGGGTCCCAATCACGAGTAACTGCTGATCCATATTTCTTTCTTAACTGTTGATCAATCTGTATGTTGTAAAGAAAGTAAGATTCGAACAATCACTCTACGCTACGAACACTTGTCCCGTGGCTCATGGTATATTGACCACTTACCACAGCTCCCAAAATGTCAGACGAACAGTCTCACGCTGGTCAATGAGCGACCAACCTTGCACAAGACCTGTTACCATGAGAACATTTCACGACACACCTGCACCATCAAAGAACAATCGCACTCCCTTCCACAAACCAAAAAACAAATAAACCCAGCGACGCCTCCACCGCAACGCAAAATGTGTGATCTTCGCAGGTTCTCAGGCACCATAAGCAGCAACCTCACACGTTGAACGCAATCCAAGCACCGGCGAGGCGCAAGGAAACGCACCACTACAAACCCACAAAGATTTCTAGATTGTTTTCTGAACACTTCACCGACACAGTTCATGTGCTCATCTCCCAACGCCGCTACTGCTACTGCTACTCGATGCAAATACTGTTAAACTGGTCGCAAATTCGGTGGAACTTGAGGCAACGATGACTCGAAAACTGCAGGAAACGGGATTTCACGGAGCATCCACTGCAGCCACAAGAGCTTTTATAGACGAAGGGTTTTGGGTTTAGTGGCTTGGGACCGGGCACCGCGGCAATCCGCGTTCACACCGGCAGTCCCTTTTCGAGTTCAAAGAAGCCGCGAAAACGGCAAAAGTCGAAGTGAAAAAGTATACACTGCCTTTTGGAATGGGAACGTGTTCCCGTGTTGTGGTGACAACCCCGCCTTATAATAGTTTGTGGGTTTTCGCCACCAACTTCACGTTAGTTTTTTGAACTCTTTTTAGGTTTTAGGGTCTAGGGTTTTAGTGTTTAAGCTTCAAGGGACATGTTGGAACCTGGATGAATGGTTTTGGACATGTGTGTTGAAAATTGAGGTTGATCATCTTTTGTGGTTATGATGAAAATTAGGGTTTGTGCTCAAGCACGCTGGGAAAGTACTTTATTGTTGGCACATTTTGAGTAGGATGTTGATTGTTACAACTTTGTTTAATGGGACCTTACAATCATTTGATGCGAAAAAGAAAAAAAAAATCTCTCACCAACTTTGTTTTCTGATTCAAAAGTCAGAAAATATATTTATTAATTAGCTTATTATCAAAATATCACTTATGTATTAGTTATTCTAACTGATGTGGGTTGATTACAATTATAATTTTCTTCATCACATAGACTTCTACATCTAATGTTTTTCTTTTTTTCTTTATTCTTTTCCTTTTTTTATTTAGTGGTGAAATTCACTGCATGTGCTTTGTTCCAGGTTAAATTTTCCGTTAATCATCTACTTGTAAGCATAGCTTTGAGTCAACGTATGCATCAATTGTTCATTGTTGGTTTAATGCTTTTTTCTGTTAACTTAGCAAGTTTTTAAATTTTCGTTATTGGTGGCAAGAATTGATTGGGATGTTTTCATAATCAAGGACATTAGAAATAATAATAATGATATATATATATATATATATATATATATAATAAACTCATAACTGGTAGTAATTTTTTACACACAAATAGGAAAGCAAAAAATAAAATGTGTTGCTACCACAGTATGTAGATCACTTCCTAATCACAAAGTAATTAAAACTTTCTAAGAATCTAATTAGAATTAAAACATACCATACCAAATTAGACAAATTAAAACCATGTACTGAATGAATGAAGAATGCTCAACTTTATTTTATAGAATCAGTCTACACTTTAAAATCATACACCATGGTGGAATGAATGAAATTTATTTTCTATTTCAGTAATGTGCGGAAATTACTCAGAACTCTTACAAATTACAACATGAAAGTGAAAGTTCACTCATACTTGATTCATAATTTGAGGGTATGAGAAAGTTTTAAACATTCCACACTTTATAACTTAATACCTAAAAGATTGTGGCTTATTTTGAATTAAAAACAATGCTCCTTCATAAATTCACCCCTTTTAATACTCATCCATGCAAAAAGCAATAAAATTAAATAAAATCAAAATTAAAATATTACAATAAAAAACTGAACTATCAAATTGATTGTAATTGTTTTGCAATTTTTGGAGCTCTGGAAAAAAATCATTGAGACATTTTTAATTGTTAAAATAAACTGCCAACAGTTTTAAAATTAAAAGCTTACTAACTAATTATTATTTCACAGCTTATATATTCATTTGAAAAAAAAAAAAAAAAAAAAAAAAATCTATGAAGTCATCATAATTTATTTTATTTTATTTTTATTTTTTCACTAACATTGCCCTTAATGCATGATTATCAATCTTGCACTAATGCTATGAGCTTAATATTGGAATAAGAAAAGAAAAGCCACAGAAAAATTGAAATAAATAACTTTGTTGTTTGAGGCTCACTAATCATGTTATAATTCATTATTTTCTCAAATCCCACTTGAAGTATGCAAGAGTTTGTATGTGCGCATGCACATATGAAAGTATTATTTTCATCTGCATAAGAAAGTCTAAAAGATTACACCACTTTAGTTATGACTTCAAGAATTTGATTTGACGACATTTACAAATACATTTGTTGAGAACATCTTCACAAATAAATACAAGAGATTAGGTTTCAATGTTCATATTCTTGTTACTTAATAGCCTGTAACAAATCATTGTACAAATTATCTTTCTTAAGGATAAGAAATATTCCACACTAAATGTGACTATTAGCATATACAATTTTATTGGTTTTTTTAAACCATAAAAAAAAAAAAAAAAAAAAAAAAAAAAAATTGTGATTGTGTACCCTTTGCAACATTATCATCTCTGTACAATATTGTAAGGGGTGGGGCATAACTTTACACCTTGGATTAAATAATTAAATAACTAAATACATAAATAATGAGGACGAAGGTATTTACTCCACATCATTTTATTTTAATTTTTTTTTTACCAACACATGGTACCTTTTCTTTCTCTCCATATATTTTAATGAAAATAGTACTAATTTTGCAGCACAACACTTTTCTAACTCATCATATTCAAATACCTCCTCTATTGTTGTTGATTTCAATGCGAGTGTTTTCTTTAATATTGGCCAAAAGTAGCACTTGGTCTTCTAATCCAAGTATTATAACAATAATACTAATTATTAATATTACCATTAGCATGAGTATAGGCTCCTCTAAGCATGAACCAAAACTAAAAGGGTTTATTGTCCCATTCAATTTCCCATGAAAAGCACAAAGTCCCTCACAACAAGCTAAAAAATTGTACCACATGGGTTAGAATAATGGGTGGGAGAAATAAACCCATAACAGGATACCTGCAGCCTCCATACTCAACTTTGAATTAAACCCCTAGAAAGGATTTTATTATTTTTTTTTTTTAAAATTAAATTAAAATAAAAATTGAATACAAGGGAACTCTTTTGATTCATAATCCATGAACACCCCCCCCCCTTCCCTACAGGCAAATTCTGCACGGAACAGGGGGTGTAGAATTAGGGTTTCTGACTGGCAGCATGGATCTGGGAGGGTACTACACCTGCCAAATGGAGGGGATCTATTTAGGGGATGAAGTAAGGCTCTAGATGGGTACATAGATATAAACGTATATACAATATATTTCATAGCTACAGAGCACAGTGAACCATGAATTATAGTTACAGTGACAACCTTTGAGATCAGAAATAAAAAAGATAAGCAGTAGCAGAAGAAGAAGAAGAAGAAGAAGAGGAAAAATCCCTACTGCCATCAAAGTCATATTCAAGTTCAAATTGTTGTTGTTTTACTTCAATTGAAGATTAGGGTTTGATCTTTTGTTGCATTATTGAATCTGTAAGTAATTATAATTGTGATGTTTCTTTCTTTTTTTGTGGGTTGAGATTTAGTTTTAAACTGTTCTACAAGTTTGGCTTCATTTCAAAAGACTTATTTAGCATGTCAGTCTTTGTGGGTGATTGCTCCTTGTCAAAGATTTGTACATATATTGTGTTGACTCTTGCACCATAAATTTAGGGTTATGCGGAATCATGGCCCTTGTGTGACCAACTTATGGTTGGATTGGCATGCACTCCAGGTACAAAAACTGTGCAAAATCATTTGGCTTCATTATGGGTCTTATGGCATTCATGGCCTTTTTGTTTTTAAAAAAAGTACTTGGTTCCCCTACTTAGTGGTTAAGCTATGCTTCCTAATTGGTTTTACCAAATGCATTGAGATAAATGCTAATGCAAAGCAAATTGGATTTTGCTCAATGTAAGGATAGTTTTGTAGGTGCAATCGTTTTCAAAGACTTTTTCCTTTTGTGTCTCCAACCATTATTATTGTTATAATGTGCGGTTACTTTTGGGGACCAATGGGTTTGATTTGTGTGTAACTTATGACTATATATAAAACATGATCATAGTCATGGTTGGGAAAAGCTTGGAATGACATGATGGGTAATTTTTTTATATATTTATATATATATTTTTTAATATGAGTGTTTTCGGATTTATTATTGGGATCTAGAGAAGCATGGTAATAAATCAAAAAATAAACGTACACATGCATGTGTTTATAGAGCAAAGAAGAGAAAATAAAGTTAGTGGAATTTAAATGAAATTAAATAAATAAATATTTCATTTTGAGTATCTTAAGAGATTTAATTTACAATATTCATGTGTTTAGTTTAATTCGTTGATTTTGAGTATTCAACAATCTAATCCATAATAGAATATATGAACAAATATGGGATTTTATGATGTTTTTATTTAGCAGTGTGGAAATAAGTCTTTACAGATAACAAGTTCCATACTACAGAAACATATTATTGGACATGAGAATAGAACTTATTACATAATAAATATATAATAAATCATTTCTAAATACAAATAAAAAATGAATAAAAATACAAATATACATATGACATATATGTATATATACATATATATATGTTTAAAATAGTATATATTTTTTGTTTTGCATCCTTAAATGTGTCCAAAGCCTCACTAAAATTTCAATAGACAAGGCGTGAAAAACTTATTATCTTTACATACACTATAACTGGAAATGAATAAGAAAAATCAATCAATAATAATAATAATTATTATTATTATAATAAATGAAAAGAATATATTGCAATTCATTGAGAATTTCGAAGACATAATGAACATCACACTAATCACGTTCTTAGTTATGGCAACAATCCCTGACTACACACATCCCGTTGACCGACTGTCGGTGGAATATGCACAGTTTCGAAGTGTGCACCACAGGCTTCTTAACCAATATTTAAACGCCAACTCGAGATGGATGCTTGAGATTTGACGAAGAACAGATTCTAGAATCGATAATCTTGTGTAAAAATGCTGGCTTGGTTCATCTTTCAAGGATCAGTCACCACCTTCTTTTCGGTTCAATTATTGAGCTAGTCGCACACAGAGAACCTGCTGCACCAATTCCAAATCAAAACCACAGCTTCAAAAAGTATCCGGAATTGAAGGCGAGCGACCAGCTCCCCATCGCCTACTCCGCTGCTGATTTTGTGAAATGGCGCCCCGGATGGCCAAAATCCACTCCGAGAGGGAAAAATGAAAGAAAACTTTCAAAAAAAATATCAGTCACTGCTCACACGGAGCACCATGTTTCATCCTTGCTGCTTACACCCTCATTTTTTCTGACATCCTTTCTCTCTTCTTCTTCTTCTCGCCCATCGTCACAATCACCTCTTTCCAAGGCGAGGTGCAACACACACTGGGGTTGAGATCTTGCTGTCAGTTCCACAGGGAGAGGAGTTTTGCTCTCTGTGGCAGTTTGAGACCTTTGATTGTCACTGTTAGTCGTTGGATTATTGTTATTTGGATAGTGGGCTACGTTTCCATGTCGTTAGTCTAGTGGTGTGTCGTATTCGGGGCACATGGAGTGGTACCTAATGCGAATTCCTTAAATCATGCGTTTGGTAGGATTATTGTGCATGGTACATTTCTTGTGATATTGACAATGGGCATCCATTTGGCATTGAGATTCTAGAGGGGAGTTGTTTTGTGTGTATGTGTGTGTGCGCGCAGATCTCTATAGAGAGGTTATAAGTTGGATTGCCTAAGCATAGAGTCGTGGTTGTGTTTTTAGAGTAGGTGGTGTTGGGAATTTATTGCTTTTCGCGATTTTGCAGCTGAACCTGATGTTTCACTGGTTCAGGCTGGCTCCATCTTTAGCTTCTAGGACGGTGCTGATTTTGATCCACATTTTGGAGTGGTATTTGGAGGTCATGGCTGGAATTTGACGGATCTCGAGGTGTGGATCTGGACCATAACTGGATGTTCGTCTGGAGTAGCAAATTATTTCACAGGTTCATGCAGCTGCTGGTTTTGAAAATCCAGGGATTCATCGGAATCTGAAGCTTCCTTGGTAACCTAGAAGCTGGATGTAGACGCAGAGTGAAGCTGGAAGTAGATTAGTTCACTTACTGCCGCGCGATAGTGTATTCGAGATCAAGGGTTTTGTCAGGGTTTTTTTTGTTAATCTTGCTTTTAGATTTTCTGAGTTCGTCATGCAGACTAATGAGCATACAGAACTACTGTTTACGAGATTTTGTGCGATTTGTTAAATTGTGGTTGAAGTGTAGGGTCGTCACATTGCTCAAAGATTCCATGTGGACTTTACCTGCCCACGTTTCATGTTCAATAACTGTATGTCTTGGAACAACAGAGGCTTTAGCATTGAAAGAGGGGCCATAGAAGGCTGATAAATCGCGGCCGTGGAAGGAAAGGGGAGGAAAGATGGCAGGCGAGAGCCTGAGGTGGTGGGTAGGTATCCTGCTTTTTGTGGGAGCCATTGTAAGCACACAGAGTATGCAAGATGAATGTGCTGTTGAGATTTACGAAAAGATATTCAAGCCGGCTTTAGGTCAAATCAAGAATCCATATGTCCTCGTGGAATTTTTTGCGTCTTGGTAAGTTTACATTCTGATCTGGCACTCTGGTTTCCTGAAACCACGTTGCATATTCTAATACCACTTAAACTCCTGTACTTTTATTTGTTTGTTTTGAGGCATGAAAGGTAAGTCTTGATGCTCTGACAATGTCAAGAATTGGTATTCATCTTTTATTGTATGCATGATACTATGACTAGTATACATATATGTGATGTATGATACCATCATCTAGTGAAGCTTTAGGATTGCTCTCTAGTGTTGTCGAAGAATGTAATTCCAGGGTAAAAAGGTCCGGAATGTTGTAGGATTGGGTTTGAATCTACAGGATCGCTATCACAATACCTTCTGTAGTCTTTTATGATATTGTTTAAAAATTCTGAACTGGAAGAGTGTGTGCAGGAGTCCGCCGAGTAAGGAATTCAAGGTGAGTTTGCTAATTAATTTTTTTCGATTTTGGTGTGACTGAACGTTAGCATAGTTTTTTGCGGGCTTTGAAGGAGAGGTCCAATTATTATAGTTCTGAGTAACTCGTATAATCAAGACTGGCAAGCGGTGTGATTGTTTATTAAGAGGATGGTTAAATATGACAAAGAGCATCTTCTACACTTGTACCAACACATGTAAACCAGCACTTTCTAAGTTTAATTTGTAATACCGGTACTGCAGCCTCATTACGATCGTGTGGCGTGTATGTTTAACGAGCCAGACCCAGTTCATGCGAATGAGGTGTTTGTTACAAAAGTTGATTGCGCACTAGAGGTAATATTTTGTTGTCCCCCGCTTCAATCATTGTCTGAACAAATCTATTTAAATTCATGGTCACTTCTGTTGCTATATACTCCTCATATGTCTGCTAGATGTCTGTGCTGTTTATAGATCTCCTGGTTGCTGTATAAAATTGCCTTGCTATGCTAATAATTTTAGATGCTTTTGTTTTGGTTCGTTGTTGTTTCTTTTACATCGTTACAAGTCGCCCATGCTTGTCCTGCCACTTCAGCAATAGCTAATTTGTGTTGGTCTTTCGTAATCCACTGGCTTAAACTGGAGCAGTCTAATAAGATGCTCTGCGCGCGATTTGATATTCAATCGTACCCAACTTTGTACTGGGGTCCTTCAGAAGTTGTGGCATCTGGGAGTGCGTTCTCTAAAGAAGATTCGGGACTGCAGTCAGTTAGTGGCAGTGCTGTGAGCACTGCTGAAGATTTGCTTCAGTGGATAAACAAGCGGCTTAATAAGTGAGTTTCTGCTTTCATTAGACCTTGTTTCTCATTAACGCCCTTCAAAAGGTCAAGAAATGCTGAAGCGATTTTACTTCTTCCAAAACTGGTAGATTACTGCCCAATGTCATCCACAAGATAACATGATCTCTGCTGCGGTCATCTTGGTATGAAGTGAAGTTGTGGAACTTGTGTTGACATCGTCGATTGACTAGCATCTGTGCACTTTGCTTGCGTAGTTTGTGGAGGTCTACCTTGTGCACAACAGACTTAGTCTGAGAATAAACACTTGGGATCACGCTTGTGAACCGCTTTTGTTTTGCGTTTCCTAGTTGATGTTTTCGCTCATCTCTCCTCAATTACATCCTTTAACTATGGCATTATTTGAAAATAGAAAGTACTCTCTGACGGACGCAAAGCCGGAACCCGAAATCCACAAACCCATTCTAGAAATGAAGCAATCTCCAGGCGTTTATGGCATTTGGAAGGTTTAGCATCTCATCTTCACAATCATGAATAGTTTTAAGTGTTTTTTACACTATTCAGTGATGCGTTTTTCCTCGAGCAAGGATAGGAAATATGTCGAGGCATCGAAAGTGTAATAGTTACTTCAACAAACGAGCGCATGGAGTGATGTCTTTCAAAATTCAAAATTTTAAAATTTTGTTTTCTACCTGACGTGAATTTGGATGTGCCTTCTTCATATTTGAAGAATCCTGCAACACTTCATGATGTGGAAGAAGCAACCGCGCAAGCTTTTTCATATATGATGGATGAGAAGGTAAGTCCTCGAACCGCATATGAGAATGGCTTATGTTTCTTATACATTTTCATTCTGTTCTACGTCCAATTTTTTTGTTTTGAAACGTACTGATATTATTGTTAGCTCTAGTTATTCTTATTGGCACTTGGGTGACCAAAGCATGAATCAGGTATTTCTTGATGATCTTGAAGTCTCTTTTCATTGCCCATGCAGATGATGCGGTCATCCAGTCGCGGCTCTTTTATCCAATTTATGCATCTTTTGGAAAGACATCATCCATCAGAGAGGTACTGATCTTTTGATGTTTGTTTTTGCTATTAAATTTCAGTATCAGTAGGAAGCAGATTCTCCATTGTATTAGTAACAGTGCAGCTTGTATGTTCTAGTTGGATGCAATGCTTTTAGCACCAGGTTTTAGTCCTGAAATTAACTTCCGTGTAGGTAGGTAGGTAGATTTTTTTTTTTTTTTTTTTTTTTTTGTTTTTTTCATAACTCTATTTAATCTTGGAAAAATATGGTCATATGATGCATAATCAGGTGCCGGAAAGGAAGCGCGAAGATTCTGCAGAACTTGGTTGAGTTTTGGCCCCTTCGCCAACCCCCTAGGAGTGTGTTGAAGAAGCAACAGTTGTGCGGTCCAGGCTTACCTCGTGGCTTCTGGGTTTGTCTAAACAATATTCTTTTCCATGTTCAGTTAGATGTATATAATCAGATTTCTAATTTAATCTGTTTCCACCCAGTTAAAATGTAAACACTCCATTTCCTCTCTCTGCTGCGTATCATGATCCAGTGACCTAGAAATGACGTTTGTTAATCATGCAGGCTATTTAGACCATACTTCCAGACTGCAATTCTCATGAAAGTGTTATGTGTTTCAGGATAGCTGCGATGGCGTAGGTCGTGGTTACAGGTGAAAACATTTCTGCTGGAAGTGTAGTTGTTCGTTGTTTGGATTGTGGTTTAATATACACATATTTCAGGGCGCTTTTTTGTCTCATGTTGTGCTTGTTTTTTCGCAGCTGTGGATTATGGATGTTATTTCATTCCTTGACGGTGCGAGTGGAGGACTTTGAAGGTAGCTTTGCTCTCACAGCAATAGAAGCATTTGTTGACGACTTCTATAAATGCGATCACTGTCGTAATCAATTTCGAAATATGACGTCAAGGTGTGTTTTGTGACTATCAAGTAGATAAATGCCAGTCTCCACATCTGATCTGGTTTTTATGGGAACAACGTATGAAGGTTTCATGTGCGAGTGAGCGTGATCAGGGTATTGGCCGTAGAAAGATCCTTTCGCTGTTTGATTGGGACGGGAATCGATTTATTTTTAGTACTTGATACGTGATGAGAACACGCAACAAGCTTTCATTTATTCAAGAGATAACATTTAAGGTATTGACCCTATGGACTTCGCGTGCAATTCACTCCGTGCTATGGCTGTTACCAGAATAACTCATGAGTCAACATCCACAAAGAAAGACGTCGTCCTATGGCTATGGAGAACTCATAACAAGGTGTACTCTGTGCCTGATAATCGCAATATGTTTCTCTTCTGTTCACTGCTGGTTCACTTATCACTGCGAAGTTGCTATCGTTTTTGATCATCTAATCAGTTTTTATTTTATTTTGTTTTCTCAAGTGGTCATTTTTTGTGAACAATGTTTGAGTTCTAAAGAGGATTTGCTTGCCACACCACAGGTCACTGAGCTTGTTGCACGAGAGGAATCCAGAGTGAAAGGGCACTCTCCCAGGAAGTTGTGGCCACCTGAAAACGAGTGTCCTCCATGCCGAGACATCCCCAACGGTGATTCTGAGTGGGATGAGGAGGCTGTGTACTATTTTTTGTTGGAATTTTACGGACTCAAGGGTGCTGAACTGCAATATCGTTATTCAAAAGTGGTGACGAGTGAGAAATCAGTGGTGGTGCCTTATTGGGCTGCTGTGAGCATTGGCTTGGCTAGCTTGGGATGCGCAATGGCAACATGCTACTCGCGCGTACACAAGCTTAAATTCAAGTACCGACTTGCTTGACCTTTGGTGCCTTTCATTTGCTTCTCTCTACTCCAATGTAGACTAGCTTCATTTAAATATTCACAATTCCAATAAAATTTTGAAAGCACCCTCTTAAGTTAAGATTGATGTGGAATGTCATTTTGGTCTGTGTGATATACAGTGCACATCAACATTAAAAGACATATTTTAGACCTGCCAAACCAAATTTTTGTGTCTGGAACCATCCCACAGTATCAAGCACTGCTTGTGTCACAGATTGGCAAAAGGGAGCTGATTTACACTGTTAGGACCTGGACCGAATCAGAAGGAACCGCAGTTGGGGTGAATTTGGAGGGCATCTTGTGAAATGGTGATCAAACAGAATGCTGGGAATTTAAATTTCTGCTGTAAAACATAAAAGAGAAATAAAAGAGGCGCTCGAAAGGTATTGAAATAGATTTCTCCTTTTTGTGTCTCCAGGTCTTTATCACGACGGTTCTGAGGGCATGTTTCTATCATAGACATCCGGCATCTAGCGAGAGCATTTTATTTGAAGGTGGTCCAACGGACTGCTCCTACCTGGCATCATTTACATAAAAGTATGTTTGGTAGGACTTCAGTTTGACCAGCTATCTGGTATTCGAGTTATTTATTGTAGCCTTAGTGGTTGACATAAAAAGATAGTTTTGACTCTGAAATTTGATGAGTGAAAAATTGTTTCTGCTGCATATAGCAATGGTTGTCATTCACTTCATATTCTTGTAAACTCCGAGATGGTGTCTGTTCTGTGATAAGGTGACCAGTCCAGTCCAAACGAAACCTTACAATGAATGCTGCTGCTGTAGTTATTCAACTGAGTGTATCATTGCAATGTTGGTGACACAAATCTTACAAACACTGCCAACCTATTGATATGGCGACTAATTGTTGGAAAATTCCAATGCCAACATTTTATATTATGAAAAGCTTTTCAATTACACTGTATATTTAATCGCATTACGGATCTGGAGTAAGCACTGCAAATTTTAAAACAAAAAATATTAATTAAGTACATGTAGATTAACTTTAGATTTGTTGCTGAAGTACTAATAATATCAATATTCAATTGTAGTCTAATGTTTTAATAGTATTGCTGTGAGTTTGTATTGCCGATTGTAATGGTTTGTGAGTGGATCATACTAGTTTTTAAGATTACCACATATTAAATACGGATTAATGTAGTCCTTTCTTGAAGTTAAGGAACGGGGAACAAGCATAACTTTTAATTTTTGTTGAAATGGAGTTATTGCACATTGGAAATTTTAAGTAAAAGAAATTATATGAATTATCTTATAATAACTAAAATTATATTATCACAGTATGACAAGGATCACAGAAGACCATATGCTATTAATAATTTAAAGACTATAAAAAAATGTCTCATACTTTAAAGCAAATAAACTTGAAAATTTTGGTTAATTAAAATTTACGTTTATTTATTTATTTTAATATAAAAAACCTCTTTATGTTATTGTTCCTTAAAATGATTGAAATCATTACTGAGAATTGGTTTAACTTTATTAATTATATTTAATCTTGAGACTCTGCTAATTTGAACTTCTTCTTATTACACTGTATCCATTCTTTAAACATAAAGGCTAGTTTGTTAAAGACCAAGGATACATTTTAATGTTTAAGTTACACAATAGATTTTTATATCATAATTACAAATACATGTAAGTTTTTTTTATCTTCCCGTTCGGATTTCTAAGTGTTATTTTATTTTATTTTATTTTTTCCTTCTTCTTCTGTTCAATTTAACCTCCTTTTATTCTAGAAAAAATACTTAATAATACATAAACTCTTTCAAATGACTTGTCTTAAGACTTTTGTTTTATTTTAGTGTCTGGCCATAAATTGCAATATATAATCAAGTTTTTTTGCAAGACAGTTACAACATATAACTAATTGCAAATAAAATCTTGTTGTTTTTTCTAATTAACTTGAGTATTAGTTTTAAAAATAGAATTGAAAATTATTTTATAACTGAAGGCCATTTATTATACTATTATTATATTGTTTGATTACCAGAATGTTATTCCATATTGCAACTGTTTCTATTTCACTGTTAAGATATTGCAACTATCACAGAGAAAAGCTATTTTTACAATTAAATTGAGACTTTCAATTGTAGATTATATAATATTGTATCAAATATATGTAATTCCATTATGAGATCTATTGAGTACATAAATCTTTGCATAGTTACATCAAGATTTTTTTTTTATATTTAATGCAATTATATGAATTAAAAATTGAATGATTATTCTTTTTATTTGCATTTAAGCAAATAAACACACAAATTGATTTCTTCCTTAAGAGTTTTCAAGTGCAAGAACTTCAAATTAGCAATTTATATGTACATACTATTGAACTGTAAATTTAAAAATCCTAGTTTGATAATAATAATTTTTTAAATTCCAACTTATGCTGAAAACAAAAAATGACATAACAATGGAATTCAAAGTATAGAAGTAGATGAGACGATATAATTTCTTATTACATTGTATGTTTAGTGATAATTCCTTAAAGCTTAGGGGATCAAGAACTTGCTTACAACTTAGTTTTCATGTGAAGTTTAATCAGCAGTAGCGAAAAGGGGAAGTAGTTTTTACGCCATGCATTCATGCCAACACAGTACCACAACCCACCTTGTGTTAAGAACCCAATCTTTTCCTATCTTTGATCATTTCCCATCCAAATCAATGTCCCTTCAAATTACTTAGAAGTTGGTATTACAATGAGGGCTCACAAGAAAACACTATGATAAAACCTCTCAGCGTGTATAGAAAGGGCAGAGGATTCTTTTAGGAATGAGGATTTGCAATCACCCTGCAGGATATCTAAACATGTGGATGATCATCTTCTATTATCTATAGACCTCACATCAAAAACTCCATTACACAATCCAGACCCTTTCACTCTCGGTTTCCATGCTTTATGTATATCCTTGTACGAAGGCAATTAATAATTATAAACATAAAAAAGAGAAAAAAGAAAATAGCATCTGCTTCACTTGATAGGAAACCTCAAAAAGTTTGCTCAGCAACCCCAAAATGTTGTACCGAGGCATGTTTAATTGGGTGTCAGGGCGAATCATCTTCTGAAACGCTGCTGAGAGGTCAGGAAATCAGGAAAAGGAAGAAAGTTGAAGATCAACTAGAAAGCAGATCACTGATTATTTACAGTCCTTGCGAACGAACAAACGGAATGAAAGGATGAGGACAACTATATATATATATATATGTTTGAGAGACTTGGTCGAAGTATCTACCGCTTGGAATGAATCATCTGAGAAGGAAATCAATTGTACAATTGTCACTAAAGGGGTGAGGTGTACTTCAGAGGCAGCCAAGGCTATAAGATGCAAATAATTTTGATGCCCGAACTTCATTCTCCAGTTGGGGAATAAGGCGAACAATAGCGAATTCTATACTTGATGTATTGCAGTTCCGAGAAAGTGTCCAAATATCGTGAGATTTCAGCTACGAACACTTAACAGCACTTCCACAGAACTCAGCCTCACAGAGCAGTACGATCTTGGTTGTACCTTGATATTATTTATGCCGGAATGTTTCAGATCCGCTGGCTAGAGACACAAAACTTCACACCCTGCCGATGCTAGAAAGGAACATGATATCCGTAGTATGTGATGAGGAGAAATCGTTGTACAGAGACCCAGATAAGCTAGCTCCTCACGCAGGTAAACTGTCCCCACTTCCAAACAATGTGAATAACGCGAGTTAAATCTTAACGTCCTCAATCAGCTTCTTTTCGTAAAATATACTCTTTAGTAAAGAACTTCTACACTTCATCAAGATGCTCTTAAATCAAGAATATCGCGAACATGGAAAAGGGGATGAAAAGGTGAAGCGCAGGGCGGCATGTCACGCAGTTTGACTCTCCGCAGACTGCAACTTTGTAAGATATTGCTGAAATGCTTGTGTGGCTGAACAAGTGTACTTGAATCTTCTTGCAAGACACCTCACGGCTCTCAAAGGTCACAGGAAAAGGAAGGATCTAATGACATTCGGCACTTCCTACACGCTGCTTGAGACTAAAAACAGGTGAGAGTATCCCCCGCCACCTACGGTGCCGCCGACGTGAAGAACCTGGAGAGATACGTGGTCCAACTAATGTGTGAAAATAGAATACTCAAGAAATCAACTGGTTCTTCAAATCAAGTGATTGTCCAACAGAATTTTCAAAGTTTCACTATTTCTTGATACGTGTTTGGGAATGAGGTGCACATCAACCGGGTCCAAGATATGTTGTCGCTAAAATGTCTCTTGAGATATTCTGCTGGTTGTTGTGATTGTGATACTAATGGTTCTAATTGAGTAGAAAACAAGTTGCACAACAATACTTGAAACCAAAGCAGAGAGCCTCTGCAACCTCGGCCTTAGACCTGAAAAAGTAGACACAAATTACTATACCTAAAAACTACCAGTGCATGAGCAACCCAAAGTCCTCACCTCATCTTAAGGGTCTCCAATCTACGCGCTTGAACTGTCGGATACAAGAGAATCGATGCGAGCAGAAAAGGACCACACGTGCAAATAGAACATCGCCCCAGCTTCTGTGCAGCAGTACTTCTGCTTCTCGTCTTCAGAAACATGAAATATTGCCGTTTCTCATTGATCCGGAAACGGATTGACCATACGCATCAAGGTCATACAGACTTCACTGTCCGGCCCTGCATCTTAGCAGAGTTGTCATGCTACGGACCGAAGATTATTTCTGTGCTACTTAACGAGTACATCCATCTCCATTCCCCCAAGAGGCGGTTCTTTGAGGTCATTAACCAGAAACGCTGCTTCTTGATGCGCTATCGAAAAGGGCAGGTACAATTTGAGAAATTACTGAGCCTGCTAAGCTTCCATCTCATCACCGTCAGCTTCAGCATCCTCCTCACCAGCGTCGCCCTCTGCTGCGGGTTCCTCAAGTTCTGGGATTGGTGGTAAAATTTCCTCTATCGCCCCTAAGAACTGATCCACAGCATCACTTGACAACCGCTCATCGCAGTCCTCCACAATCTGTAACATGAACCAGCAGAAGTAATACCAGCAAGTTACGGTGAGTAAGAAATAGCACTTCTTGAATAAACATGAGACTACTACAAGGTGCAAACAAGACTAGACACATTGAATTGAGCCAAATCCTTGAAGTTTCTTAATTCAAAATAAATGCTTACAACCTGCTTACATGCCTTGTAAGCAGAAATCGAGGGGTCCTACTGCAGGTGCTAAACAAAACCCACCTAGATTATGCGACTGAATCTACATATTCAGGAGCAAGAGAAAAAGAGCAGCATACAAGATGGACTTCAACAGCAGAAGCTGGACGCAAATTGCTAACTTGCAAATACTCAGCTTTAGTAAGCTTGTACTGCTCCGTTGCCTTGAAGAACGCCACTATATTCTCTCTTGTCTGTGAGCCAGCAGGCGTCTTTTCCAGATAATCGTAAACCTGCATTAACGATCAAAGTCCTGTTAATTATCAATAAGCATCTACGCCGACAATAACATCAGTTTCCATATGTTCTATTCTTTGCAGCAAGGAAATGAATTCCAAAAGGGGGTGTTTGCGTCAGCCCTTGCGAGGTTTGGCAAAACCCTAGACAAATAAAACCCTAAACCCTTGAGGCAGGTCAATGGAGCAGTCAAGAGTTTATGCATTCACACACACACAAACAAAAATAAAAAGAACAACAAAACAAAGTTACAATATGAACCCGAAGACCTTCATTTCGGCAGGAGATAGGGTGTTGGCAACGCCGAGGTTGCCTCTGTCCGCCCCACGAGACTTGAACAAATCCATCAGCTCGAAATTTGTCAAAAGACCCGCATTTCCATTTTTCCTACGACCCAATCACCAATCATTCCACCCAAGTTGAGAATTAGTTTTCACACTAACTCAGAAGCAGAGTCTCTCTCTCTCTCTCTCTCTCTCTCTCTCTCTCGCTCTCTTTCTCTCCCCATCCTCAATTCCTCCTCAATCTCTAAATCCAGGTGCCCGGCATTGCTCTTCTCGCACTAGACACGATCCAACGGCCCCTAAAAAGTAACGAAAATCTTACACAGCTCATGTACAATACAATCAAATCGAAATCCTGCATTGGAAACTATGAGCCCACCCATGAATTCATTGGAAAACATCCGGACTTGAAGAGCAAGCAGGAAGTCATGGTGAGGAACCTTACAATTTCATAGTGACAACGCAGTGTGAAGCAGCGCAAACTGCTTCCAACAAAAAGATGGGAGGAAAGAAGAAGGATAAGAAAGGAAGAAAGAAAGAAAGGGGTAATGAATTCGAGAATGAAGCTGCGATTGGAATCCAAGCAAGCAAGCAAACAAACAAGCAAAACCGTCAACCTGGATTATTCCGGAAACGCAAAGACATTCATTTCGGTGCTATTGAAGTTCCCCCCCCCCCCTATCGAGGGAGTGAGAGAGTGAGAGAGTGAAAGAGTGCCAGCATTCAGGTGTCGTGCTGCTGCTCGGTTTCGAACTCTGGTGTCTGATGTGCTTTCTGCCTTATGGCCGTCGATGGAAGGGCATCGATCGACGGTGGGAAATGTCCGACCGAGTCCAGGAAGGGCACCAATTGGGAACTGGGAACTGGGAACCAACAGTTGCTAACACGTTGCAACGTAGAACTGCGTCAGCAATTTTGATAACCATTTCTGCATTATAACTCTTTTACAAAAAGAAAGAAGAGAAAAGAAAAAAATTATTAAAATTTGAGTATTTTTTAATTTTATTTAATTTCAAACATATATTTTGATTGCAGGTTTAGAATAATTAAATTTTTTTCGAAATATATTTAAAAGACAATCAAAAAAGAGCAGTGATCTCAAAAATAACAAATATAAACTTTCCATTCTAAAAATCTGAATCAATATTTTTATTTTTATTTTTTATACAATAAATTCACGCAAGTTTTTAAAATTTAAATAGAGAAATCAAGAATAATATATATAAACTAAGAAGAATACACATATAAAAAAATAAATTGAAATAAACTTCATCTAACATAGAAAGAAAACTAAAAAAACATTATCCAAGAACAAATTTTATTTTTTTACAATATGTGTTATCCGAAAATGGTTAAAAAAAATCAATTTCAAAAAACATGTAGTTGTAATATCTAAAGAAATGTATTAAATTTTTTAAAAAACATGATTATTTTTTATGAAACAACAAAATAAAAAATTAGAAAGAAAATGAAACATTATTAAATAAAAGGTATCAATACAATAACAATTATTTGATTATAACTAGACATAATTTTCTATTGATCTTTAATTATTTATTCTTGTAAGAGAAATTCTCAATTTTAACTTTAAACTAGCAAAAATATAAAGCTAAATTGATAGATTATCTCTATCTAGAATTAAAACTTAATTAACCATCAAATAGTATGCTAATAGCTTTAACTTTTCTTTTCTTTTTTCTTTTTTCTTATTTTTTATTTTTTATTTTTTAAGATCCAAAACTATATATTGACAATGTTCTTCAAATTATCAACACTTTCAATTGGTAGAAACCAATTGTTATATGATTTTCTTACATTTCTATTCAAAGATAAGGCCACAAGTATTAATATATTTAAGCAATTCAAGGCAATTTAAGGCAATCTAAGTCTCTTTGTTAGATATATTGTGTTTTACACTATGCAATTTTTTATCTGAAGAATGCAAAAGAAATTAAAATATTGGTGTTCCACTAAATTGAGCTATTATAAGAACTCTTATAGTAAATTATTTTATCTTGGCACCTATCATTTATTTTTCTTAAAATCTGGAATACATCTCTTAAGACCACTAGAAATGTTAAAAAATTAACAAGAAATTTTCTTGAAATTGTGAGAGAAACTGATACTTAAACAAGAATATTTTTAGAATTTTTCATATAATTGCTAATAAAAAGGAGCATTGAATCTAATAAATTTTAAAATAAAATCTAATGCTTGTGCAATTCATTAGATGCTAAAAGCTTTTATCATTAGCAAATCATCTTACAGGTAATTTTATCCAATACAAATGCTAATTCACACAACTTTTATAAAAGGTTGATTAATTATCATCAAATTTATATTGGATGATTAAATTTAGTTTAAATTTCTGCATAAAATATGGAATATAGAAAAACGTATATAAAATATAATGATCTCTAATTAATGTTTCAAATACATATTTAGTATTCTGTAGTCTCATAGACAAGTTAGATTTGATTCAAAATACTTTTCAAGATAAAATTTATTTAAAAAAAAAAAATTAACACTGGAACAAATTATAAATTATTGTAGAATAATTTTTTTCCTACTTCCATCCAAATATCAAATAACAAAGTATATTGTTTTGTGACTTTAGCATAAATTAGTAATTACTTTGCAATACTTTTTATTTGGCTTATTTAAAATAAAAGAGTAGTAATTAATTTTTAGCAAAAGGTCAATGCTATATATTTTAGACATTCTCTAAAAATATCTATGATAATCTTATATGTATTTTGGGAGTGCCCCAAAACTCTAAAAAATTTAGACATAAGGAACCACAACCTTAAATTAGAATTAGTGTGACTTTTTGTTACAGATGCAGGTTTCTACACAATATAAGAACAATATCATGATAATCTTTTTGGTACAAACTATGGAATGATGTTAAAGTAGAAAGAATAATTTGACTAAAGATAACTGATTATGGAAAAGCATGTTTACTGAAAAGTGAAGTCCTACTATGTAGAAAATCTAAATATAAATAAAAATGTGTCAAAATTAAATTCAACATAGTTTGAAGACTTGGAGCCAGAAGAGGTGACATTTAAAATACATAAAAATACTAGTTTTTTTTTGAATTTTCCACCTCACCAACTCAAAAATTCACCTTCTTATGCTTTAATCAACGACTAGTAAATTATAACCAGTGGAAAAATCCACCCACTTACATTTTTTTGTGTGACAGTCCTTAAAAGCAAAGAAACTTCCAGATTTCGTTTCAAACTAGTAAACCCATTGTTCTACCATTCATTGCACATACAATCACAAGTTGTTGTCTCTAGAACACTGATATTTTAAAGTCAAGCATTAAAGTTTCCAATCAACAATGTACAATATGTTTTGCATTAGCACAACCATCCATCTGAGGTGGCCGTCTGGAAACATATCAATTGGAATTGACTTGGTTGCAACGAATTTGGAAACTAGATTGAGGTACACATTTATCAGTATTTCTACTTCAACTTCGACTCGGATTGGAATCGACAGCTTTCACGTCTATAACGCCTGAAGTTCTATGATAAACTTCCCATCAGAGGATTTGTCCAAAGTGACTCTAATTGAATTACGACAGGATGTAATCAATGGGAGCGGAAGAATCTAATGAACCTGAACAAACACGTGATCAATGGCGTTCAGGCGCAAGAATATAAATAGTGGAATCATGTCATTTTATTAAATGCTACTACTCATCAAATTTGTAGTGAAAGCATTCCATGTAACTTGAAAACATAAACCCTTTCAAAGTGTCTCAGATACGGAACACAAAAACCACAAAAGCTGCAAGCAATCTTCACAAATGAGACCATAAGCGGGCCCTACTCCAAAAAAGCGAAGACTGGAGCACATCGCCCTCATGAGATAGCCAAACTTCGACGTGAAGAACTCGGAGATGCAGCATTGCTAGAAAGTGATGCACTACTTGGACAAGTGGGTGTGAGAGAGTTATGGATCATTTACTAAAGAATGTATGTCGGGGAACAAGCTTGACCATGGTTAATCCAGTGTAGTAAATGCCTAGTACGATTGAGGATATGGTTTAAGGTAGAATGGGTGCCCTCAATGCTGCGCGCTGAGGGCACTGCTCTGCGAGGCAATTCCGAGAAATCTGTAAAAACGATCTGAAATGAGTTCTATTCTCCGCCATTGCAACCTAAATGCATCTGAAGACAGCCAAGCTAAGCAATGCAAAGCAATCTCCACTTGATGTCAGTAATGGGAGCATTCCCCTGAGCTGCCCTCTGGCTTAGGAAGCGGGACGGCCGGATGATGCCACTTTCGATACAACTCGAGCAAAATTGTTGGGTATAAGCGTTAAAGCTCCAAATCAGCAACAAAAAAGGGGAAACGATTGCACCTTCAACCAGGGCCAAAGGAGCTTGGAGTGGAGAGGGGAGCATTTCCGTTGGCGTCTGAATCAATCGCAGCTCTTTACGACTTCACAAACTGATTGTCATACCAAGAGGTATGTCATGAGTACCGCTGCAGTTGACATGCGGAAGAGGAAGTGTGGCTCATATCCAATTGATGCTGTATTCTGGAATCCAGGAGGGCTTGGAATAATTGTCCCATTGCCACCAATCGTTCCGTTCACTCTGCGAGAGAAAAATAGAGAACCCGTGGACATCAGCCTCAAGATTATTTCACGTAACCGCTCTTGTCTAATTTCAGCATCTTAGAGTGCATTCGGAAAAACAAAAAACCCTAAAACAATAAGAAGGATTCAGACAACTTACTCTTTCATTGTTCCTGTGTATACACAAGTCGCGGTACCTGTTGCCAATGGAGACAGATTAATTGATCGATTAGTGCTGTGAGCAAAACACAAAGGATTGCACGTGAAACCTAAACAAATTGAGTACTGAGAAGTTGGTAGCCAGCGTCTTACTTGGGTCGACTGTTACTTGCTGAGCAGTTCCTTGGAAGTCACAAGCATCATTGGTGGCATTGTGAGTGGAGAAATAGACATTGAACGCCCAACTAGCGTGGCTTTGCACGTCGTTCGGTTGGTAGCAGCTCCCGCCGTCATTGATTAGACCGCAATTGACCTGACCTTGAGTAGGTAAAGGTCCGCAAACCCAGTCCAAAGCTCCTTGCAAGTCTGTGGAGGAGACGTTCGACTTCGCGATGCACCATACCATCGCGGTGGCAAGTTTCCGTCCTCGAGGCCTGCCGCTTTCATATAACTTCTGGTCTAGTGTAATCATTGGACCGTAGTCGAGACTGGCATGTGTTACGGAGCTATCCCCTACTACTCCTGGATCAGAAGAAGAAGATCACACGAGATTAGATTGGGGGAAGAATCCCCAGAACGAACATGTTGATTAGTTGATCAATGGCTTTCAGTTTCTTCAATCTGGACCAAGCATGTAGCAATTAACTGCCATTGAGGTGTATCCCTTCCCGACGAACCCAAGGGCTACGCTGAGTCTGACAAGCTATGTTAACTGCTGTTAGTCAAGTTGCTAGCACCTACTATATAATTGTCAAGAACAATTGGTTAATCAAGCAAGCACGCGACATCTCTGACAACGTACACTGACTTCAACTTCTTCAATACTTGTGATTCTCTGTGATATGAGAATTCTGCTAATTGGCAACAGTTTGCATTGATACCTTCTATTGAGGAGCCAATGTGCAAACACTTAACCCACTTGAATGATAATCGACTTACAATTTAGAATAGAGAAACCCTCCAGAAGAGAGAAAGCGAGAGAGAGAGATGTACCTAGGAGAAGCGGGGGGAATAGGAGAGCGAACAGAGCGACAACACATGGATTCATCATCACTACCCTTGCCATCGGCCGCGAATCCACGTTGAGCTCACAATTCGCCTGAGCTATGTTTACAAGAGCATGCGGAAGAATGACTAAAGTTCGAAGTCCACTCCCCTTCCCATCACCCGGTTATTTTTTCCACCAGCTTGTGATGTGCACGCAAATCTCAAGCCGCACCACAGTGAATATTCTGAAAGTCCAGAACTGAATCGCTAAAGCCTGATACAGCTCGGCTCAGGTGGGTTGTTGACAAAATCGTCCGCCTACACAGAGAATAAAGACAATGTTACAGCCCCGATGTCGCCGATTGGGATCAGATTAACAAAACCTCCAGTCCTTCGAGCAGCCGCGATGCAAGGAGTTGTGACAGAAATGGGAGAATAGGATCCGGGACACGCTTTGAATGCTTTCAAGGAAAGAGGGTAGAAGGGGACGGCAGGCGATACACTAGAAAGCGATGGAGGAGCAGCAGAGCAGGAGAAGGAGGAAGAGGAATGGGTCCACAGTGGTAGCTTAGGATGCTGCTACTGCCCTTCGTACATTAAAAAGTGTGGAACTTGAGAAGATGAACGAAAGATGCAGACTATCGCCAGCTAATTACAGTGGCTCTACTCCAAAGTCTGACCAGACTACGCCTGCAGTGCAGAAAATGAGTGCGACGTCTGAGCAGATCGCGGCCGCTTGCTCTCATCTATCTAGCTGTACCCCGCGGTAAATAACTATGTTCAGCACTTCAAAAACCAGTTCATCGCTCAGGCATGGCAAACCGATTGTTTAGTTTCAATCGACCCGAAGCTTCTGGGTTCGATTGGATCTCCCAAAAACACGTCCTGATGAGAGCAATTCTGTCGCAACGGTACCGTTGGGAGGCAGAATTGGTGTGAATCTCCACTCGGACGGGTGCCGTGATCTCGGATGTATGGTGACTTCGTGCATAGTTCAAGTTATTTTTACCAAGGGTGCTGACCATGAGAACCACACAACTGTAAAGTAAACTCGAGCGGAAATTTATTAGAAGACACTCTGTTGCTTAACCCGTAATTCCTCATGTAAACAAATCAGAACTTTATCACCCCAATTAATGTTCTGGACAGGATTCAGGGCATACTTCGAAAAGAAAGACGACGGGAACAATCTCAGAGAAGAATATTATTACTTAAGGAAATGATTCGTTATAGGAAAACCCATGGAGCCATTTCTCCAGCTCCTTCCTGTAATGGTTGCATGGGATGCGGGCAGGCGTGCCAGGTTTGTTGGTGCGTTGTCTGTCGGTTAATTAAATCACCGAGTCAGGACAGTTTTTCGAGCTTGCACAATTCTAGGGCGAGAGCCAAAATTGAAGATCCGCCACAGAAGTTGCAGAGCGCCTATGTCCATCTAGCGTAACCTGGGGAGAAGCCCTAATTGAGGATGTTGACGTTTCACACTATGATCTCAACTAACGGTCTTTAGCCTGGAATATACAGAGTCAGCGGTGGTGCATTTCACATGAAACGCTAGGGCTCCGCCACAATGTTCTCGCTTGATCCCCTAATAGATCTTCGAATTGGTTTCGCGAAAATGACTGTTATTTCACTGACAGGAGCCGTCACAGGAATTTCGTCTCTATCGTCACATTTTCAAGTGGCCTGAGTCTTCGGCCCCACAGACTGTAATCCCACGGCAACCCATGCGGTATCTCTGGATCCAACGGGAAAAAGCTACTCTATCGAATACTAAACTGATATCTCTACACTGCTCAAATGTTGCAGAGTATATAACGGCGGATCACATTGTAGATTCCTAGTGTATCCCTCTCCAGTGGCACCACCCTCAACTGCAGCTGACCATGATTGTTCTGGGCTCTGGGTTGCAAAACGGCACAGATAATGCTTCCAACGGGTGATGCACACAACTCGCAGACGAACCATGTAGGATCTCGAGAATTTTATCTGGAAACCAAGGTCACGACGAAGTTGGGCCGCAGGAAACGGCAGGCAGAGGATCGTTAGCATAGGCAGGCAACTGATCACTAGCCAGGCATAGGATCGTGAGCATTGGCAGTGCATGTACCGAGCGAAAAATTGACTGACGGCAACTGTAGTTGAGTGCTGGAAACGCCATCTTCTTCGCTAGACTGGGTCAGATTTGTTGACAGACAAATGGCAACGCCTGAGAAAAGAAAAGAAAAGAAAAGTGACCTGGATAATATCTGCCTCAGTGATGGTACACCAGAGAATTGACTATTTCTCATCATCCTCTGGTGAAGCCCACTGCTCGCACAGATGGCAGCTTAAAAAGCATCTTCTCAGACATCACACGTAAATTAACATGCTTCCTACACAAATGATGACTAATCTGTCTTGCCTCATCAGTCAGGCCTGGTTGTGGTCCAATTCGCAGTTTCTGTCCACGGCAAACCATGCATCAGTGGCTGATAACAAATCAGCAAATGTGAGTGAACCATCCCAGATGTGATGGTGTATCAAATATTTAACCTAGTGGGAATTCGTGAATTGTAGAACTGCGAACTATTTCAAATAAACCGCAGAAACTTGGGTTCAGGGTTTTGGCTGGAGGGTGCTTGTTAGTAATTTCCAATTGGGCGAAGTTTGTGCTGGTTAAGTTCAAAAGTTCATGTGTGTGCTCTCATGGCTAGCTAACTCATTACTCTACCTCTTGAATCTTTGCTATCCATCATGGGAATGATATCAAGGCTACGCTTGGTGCACGTACAATATTCCAGCCTTGGGTGTCCTCGACGAATTAACTGATGCTCGGCACGTAGCAAACATAACCAGTGTCTTTGATGAAGTGAGGTACCCGCGCCAGAGCTTGAAGAGGGGATGGTCCAAAACGGGCACGTTGTCTTCACAATGTGGCATCGTCGCGTTTGATACTTCGATGGAGCCACTCTTGAGGCGATCCGCTCCTCACGGGCGCCCAGTACCTCCCCTGAACCTCTAATTTACTATAGCACTTTTATAGGAAATTGAAATTGGGTTCTCATGTATTCTGCACTTGAGACATGTGGGTTTCGTGACTAACTTGAACAGTTCGATAGTTCGCTAGCAACGGTTAGAGCAGGCAGCGATCGTGGGGAGAGACAGGACACGTGCAGCACACCAATCTCAATTTCATTTACTCCTAATGTTAGCTGGTTTTCTATTTACTTTGACATCGCTAGTGGCTACTAAAAACCGGCGAGTTCATTGACCTGTCTGATAGTCCTTTCAAGGCCAGAGCAGGGCGATGGAACAGCTGCAGTGCGATGCTCAACGTCGTGGAGATCTTCGAAAGAATACCGAGAATACGAAAAAAATCTGCGAACAAACCAAGCGGCTTCTCATGGTCGAAGAGACGAGTGCAGTACCGTCATGTACGTTTAACTGCGGAAGCTTCAGAACGAATCGAGAACAGAGCAACATTGTATACGGACTGGAGGTGTATCAAAACACATTGGAAGCCTGAGGGATGGGGAGAGAGAGAGAGAGAGAGAGAAGGTGACCGGCGCGAGGAATGATCTTCGTGTAATACGCAAAGTACTGAGATGTTGAGAACTGATAGAATTGACAAGAAAGGAATGTACATGAGTGGTGCTACTTGCAAAACAAATGCTAGAATTTCGAACAAAAATCCAAAATCTGAGCACGCTGCACCTTGTACTTAAGTTCCTGTTGTTAGGGCTCTGCCTTTCATTAGGTTCTGAATGGGAAAAGTCATCTCTAAGTACACAAGCAGAAAGGCGAGTACTTCTGCATCCTGGCTGTTGATTCCGCCAAGTTGATAGTTCATTCAAGGTCAGTAAGAATTCAACACCTTGCGAATGTGATTGGTTGTGTGAGTCCCGTGCTCGAGGCTGGGTCACCTATACAAGCAAGATCAATTTCGGTGTAAATTAAAATTTCAATTAGAGAAACCTTTTCCAAGAACCACAACAGCTCTCGGTACTTGCATTGTAAGCTGTGCTTTCTTATGCATGTTTCTGTGCAATGATGATTGAACTACCACAAAAGCCACTAATGAGCCACCTTAAGATTGTCCATTTGTAGCTTTCCATTGGTAGGTTTATTCAAGTACAGTGTCTTCAAATAGATTGAACTCCATTAAGCTTCAAAATCGAGATAAGAGCATCTTATTAAAATATCGCAAAACACTGACAGCCTCGGAACAATTTATCCCAAACTTCCAAAACTTTCATACCTCCACCCTAACCGTATGCAAATTGTCACGATTTACTCTAGTCGACTGGTGTCAATAATTCAGCTGACAAGCTCCTGGTCCAAACATGATACAAGTGTCCAATTCCTTATCTTCACTTTACTCGTCGTCCTTGCACTCCAAGTGGTCGAGGTTGCGAGTCTGTGTACCTTTACCCTGGCAGTTGATGCACATGAGCGCGCCAGACTCTTAGTAATAAATATACTTTGAGACTTCCCAACCCACCACTGCCAAGCTCAAGTGTGATGCACCCCGCCACAAATTTAAACTTAAAATTATTGAAATCTAATGACCTGGGATGGCAAACAAGGTCTGTCTTTCTTCCGGATCTTGGAAAAGTTTCGCCTGCAATTCGTACAAGATATCAGCCGTAATTCCAACGGTCAATCTCGCTGCTTCAACACTGATCATCACTAAGTAATCCTGGTAAAATTCCAACTACTGCATCACCAACGCAAAGTTGCTACCTCTCCCTCCTCCGCTTATCAATCTAGCTCCACAATTAACGATGTTGATAGGGAAGACTTCGCAGAGGCAGAAACCGAAGCCAGCGAGAAGTCTCGAGACGACATTAGAACTTGAGCAACAACGCCACGTATCCTGCAGCACCTTGCCGAACTTGGATCTGGCGGAGGATCCTGAGAGCGTGGCATCACCAGGCCACTATTATATAAGGCAAATCGATAATTTTGCCCATGAGTCCTACAACAGAACATCTCAGCGACCCTCCATTAAGCTCTCATGAATGACCTAAACTAATATTGGCATACACAATGCATGTGGTGTTTTGTCATGCTAACTGCTCCTCATTTTTTTTTGGATTAGTTGCAATGACCGAGGCACCTAACACACCATTTCATGCAACCAAATATGGCTTGAAGTATGGAGTAGAGCCATATCAATGAGATTGTGCATATTGTAGATGGTGTCAATTTGTTGTTTGTTTTGTGTGAAAGTTAAGCAAGTTGGAATCAACCATAGGTTGACGTATTGTATTGGATACGTTGTCAGTTATATACTGAGTAACAAGGATTATCTAGTGGCAGGTTTTGAGCAAGTTTTGATCAAAAATCAGAGTCAGCAACCACCGACAAGTGTTTTGCCTTCAAGTACCGCTGCAACTCGACCGTCGGATAAAATAAAATCAAGCCAACCGTCGCACCACTAGCACTCAAATCTAAATTCCTTTGTCACACCACATTTCAACTACAGGACCAAGAGAAAAACCGCTCTATTACAGCTTAAAAAGAAATCTAAAAGACAACGTAAGAATGTCGCTTGAAGACTAGTTCCCCTAACAATTAAATTTTCGTATTTTGAACCAATGCCACCGACAACCTTTAACCCGTTGTTGCAATTCCAGTACTGCCTTATCGATCTTGTTGGAAAGTCTAGTAAACCCGCCTAAAAAAAGACTAAGCTTCTCTTTGTACCAACCACCCATCCAATAGCCACCAACTTCCTCAATAACAAGCTCACTTCAAATACAGAGACAAACAATGCCATTGGTTGCGATATGTAACCGCAAGAAAAGTGCGGAGCTCAACAGCTGCATCACCCACAACTTGTGGAGCTACCAAAACAAGCCACATTGTCCAAGCTTACATACTAAACCCGAGTGTGCATCATCTTTGACGCTCCTCAATTACTACATGTCATTTAGGAGCACGTTCTGGTCACACTTCATTAACACCAACAACCCCACAGTAAGATGGATCGTCACAAGGCAAGTTGTGATTCTTTGGAATGTCGCAATGGATTGTCGAGGGAGAGTCGACTCCTCAAAATAGAAAACAAAGGCACCAACGCAGCCTTGTAAAACTACAAGGAGGCAAGGCCTTGACAAGGTTGTAGCTTCACTACAGCACGAACCACTAATACTGCCACCGACGAAAGAGAAGCAAAAAAAACATGAAGAAGAAAAAAAATTATGGCTGAAGTTGAGCCTCTGCCACCACAGCAACAAAGCCAGAGGAACCACAGCCCTCCTAGAATTGCCGCACGCACAAAACCTAGGGAGCAGAGAGAGGCGCAAACCGCCAAAAAATGCGGAGTTCAAAAATCATGAATGAAAAAACACAAGGAAAAGAAGAGGGAGAATTCGATCGAGCGGGGGACCCCTAATGCCAATCGCTTCAACGATGGTGGAATCTCCCGGTACTAGGTTGTTTTGGTGCGACAAAGAGTTCAGTGGCGCTCCTTGTTCCGTTTCAAACTTGATTGCTTAAGTTTGGCCTTAGCGGCCTTGCCTTAAAAATAGTAGGAAGTACTTTTTATATCAGAAGACAAAGTGGTCTGTTCTTCCTTTGGTTTCTCTTCAAGAGATTCTTCTATCACCGTTGGCGGAAAATTATTAAGAACACAAAAAGGAAATTCTTCAAGTAGAAGGTGATACGAGTATGACCAATTGAGCAAGCCAGTCAACAACTAATTATGCACCTTTGGTTGGCTTAAACTTGCCTCCTTGAATTTCCACTCATGTGACTTCAACTTTGTTCCACCATCATCAGTCACTACGGCTTAGATCATCATCATTTTTTTTTTTTTTTTTTTTTCTTTTTTTGGCAATTCAATATCTGGTCAAGTAATCCAACTATTAAGGAATGGGGCTTAGAGTGCTCTAATATTTGGTGTATCTAATGCATCTAACACATTTGATTTTTGAGATTCAGTGCAGAAGTATCAACGACAAAAGCTGAGATCTCCATTGAGTACATTTGGAGAGCCATATAAAGTAGGAATTCTGAGGTACCATCTCTCAACACCCTGTATTCATTTCGTTTGTAGGATAGAATTGGATTAGTTGATGATTGCGAGCTTGTTTGCACCATTTTGTGGTGTAATTTAAGCAATAGCAGGAGAGCATTGTTGCCAAGCAGACATCGGAAATAACAAGAACTTCAGTAATATGCCATCGTCAATCATGGAAGGTTAGCCACAATGAAGCTTCGGAATGAATCAAGTCCGGATAGGCTTCTCTTCCTTGTCTAGACTTGTTATTGACACCTTTGCATTCTATGAGAATTTTCAGATCAACTGCTTAGAGCACAATTTTTTTATAATTGAATGTTTGATCAATCAACATTGAACCGTGGTGAGCCTAGGTCGTATGATAGATGAGATGGCTAGGATGAAGTTAGGTTGAATGGGATGAAACTTGATGGATGAACTCGGTTAAAAGGGGATGAATTTTCATTCATGGATGAAAACCATTTGTGGATGAAAACTCATTTGCAAATGAGAAATTATTCTTGGATGAAATTTTAAACTTAGATGATTATTATTATTAGATAAAAAAAGAAAAAAAATTAAACTAAAATAAAATAAAATAATAAAAAAAATTTCTTTCAAGTGTATGGTTTTTATATTGTTAAGTAGCTTACGTTGTTACAGATGTGTAAGTGTGAATTTTAACTAGTTAGTGAATTAAAGGTTTTAATAAGTAAAAGGTCATTTTATATAATTAATTCATAAGTTAATTCATAGTTGTGAATTAGAATAAATTTTCCACTAAACAGATTTGTTTAGTTCATAATTGAGAAGTTATAGGATTTATTAGATATTGATTAAATAATAATAATTTTTACAGTTATTAAATTGGGATAGACTTCAAATTAATAGAAGTTTTTTTTAATTCACATTGTATTACAATACTATAATAGTGGTTAATTCTAAATTGTAATATTATATCTTTTATTACTTGATTTAAGAAGTATTTGCTTCTATCACGAATGAAGCTCTTTGGACATTCAAATTAGATGATGATATGATTGAACAAAAAAATAATAGCATAAATAACATCATTGGTTTTGACTAACTTAGCCTCGATTTACTTAATGAGGTATTTAGTAGCTACTATAATATATCTTATTCTATTAAAAGAATTGTTTTTTTTATACAATCAATTTTCTATTTTTCAAATAGAACTAAAGGTAATAACAATTGAAGAGGTTGATATATTTGAAGGTCATTCTTAGCATATTTTTTACTTGCATTATATTTTTTGATATATTTATAAGCATCTTAAAATAATTTAAGCCAATAGTAACTAATCTTCAGTACTTTTTGGCCTGTCAAAGTATTAAAAAAGTAGGTTCTATATATATTATTATAATATATAGAAATAATGGATGGAATCTTCAAACCTATGACATATCTCTTCAATATTCTATCTACTTTGTAATGGTATAATTTGCATCCAATTGTGATAAAACGTTTGTTATTGATGCAATTTTTTCTATGCTCATTTTTAACAAGTTTGGAAGTAGGCCTTGTCTGATTAAAAACTTTGTAATGAATTCGTAGAAAATAAGAGAATATGCAATATTAAATAAATTCTCATTAATCAAAGAATTATTAATAAAAACAACCTTGGTTATCTTTAACAATTAAAAAAGATAAATTGCTTGTTTATACATCTTTTCATGTTTACATTCAACAATGTAGTCAAATATTTCTAAAAGAAGGATCCACCTAACAAGTCTATCACTAAAATTGGTTTTATTTACAAGGTACTTGATTGCCATGAAATCTACAAAGAAAATGTAATTTTTAAACTTCTTAATTAAGAATATTATTTTTCAATAATGGTATAGTTCTTCTCTACCATATTAAATTGTTTACTATCAAATGTTATTGGATAGTCTTTGCCATAACCACATATAGATTGACATATTATACTACTTATTCCTACAAAAGAAGCATCATAATACATATGAAAAAAAAAAAAATCAATTTGGTGGTCTTAAAATTAGATAAGTTCTTAATTTTTTTTTGAAGTATATTGAAGGCTCA